TAAATAGCTGAAAAGAGACATAACAGCTAAACAGTACTTAAATACTGACTTATCCTGATTTGGGGAGGAAAAAACAGGTCTGAAAGCTGTTTTAGAGCAGTTGAAATTTCAACATAGATTGACTACATGCAGTGATATTAAGGAGTTATTTTTCATTTTTCTTAGCTGTGGTAACAGTATTGTGGTTAAGTACAAGAAAGTCTTTATTGCTAGGATATGATGAGTATTAAGAGGTGAATTGTCTTGATGTTCATAAGTTATTTTACCTGTACCCATACACAAAAAAAGCAAAAAGGTAAGATGCTAATAGTTATCTCTGAGAGTGTGTATATGGTATGTATTAGTAGTATTGTTTTCACCAAGTTTGACATTTCTCATAATAGAAAAGAATGCTTTTAGAGCTCAGTTGAGAGAAATAGTATTTATTGAAGATGGCTTTATGATATGCAGTGCACTACTACAGTTCCATGACTATCAGGGATTTGTACCTACATTGTAAACCAAGAATAACTTTGTTGCACTCTGTTTAGGTATTATAACACTGGCCTACATTGAGAACCAGAGTAGAAAACAGTTCTGTGAAATGCTTTTGTGTTATAAGGACGTTTTTGAGAGCGTTGCTTACCGTATCACATGGTGTAGGAAAGATGAATCTTTACATTTCAGTAACAAGAATAGCTGTGCTGCTTCTGAGAAACTGGATTTTTGGCACGTTACAGACATTGAGTTATGTTTTACTGGGTGCTAGAAAGCTCAGATCTCATTTGTGGCCCATCTCTAGCAAGGGTACTTTCCAGCTGCACTCCTGACTGCTTTGCAATTTCCCTCCTACCCTTACTTTTCTCTCATTCTGATTCCCTCTTCTATTTTTTCGTGTTTTGTAAGATACTTTATGTCCAACAGTGTTTTAGCCACATTTAAAGGACATTAAATAATGTAGTTTATGATTTGAAACTCACAGCCTACAAGTCGGATTTTCATGTTACTGTTATTAGTTACATGAATTCTTGCCCCCAAATCCAGGCCAAATTTAGAATAAGGGACTGTTTCTAGCAAATTTGAAAGGACGTACTTTTAAAAATATGATTAAATAAGATATAAAAGTTTCTATTTCTGGAGTAACGTTGTAGTAGTAGTAGCATAAAATACCTTATTTTAGGGGATGAGTAATACAGGGAAAAGAACAAAGTCAGTTTATGGAAATACATTTTTAGCATTGGAATTGGCACTGGCATTTTTCTTTGAGAATTTCATTTTTTGATTCTGTTTTTTTGTTTGTTTGTTTTCAATTAAGAGGAATAACTAGGCCTTTATTTTACCTTTGGAAATTCTGAAATAATTATTATGTACAAAAAAAAAATCCTAAGGAAAAATTATTTTAGTTGCTTTTGAATGGTATTCAAATTTTTTTCACCTACCATAGTATCTTCTTTCTGTTAAATGATACTTTATATTTTATAAAATATTTTTCAGCATCAGCATGTTGATGCAGATATAATATTTACAATTTGCTCCTGCTACCTTCTTGGGATTTGAAGTCCTTTCTCACCCAACTTCTGTGTGGCATTACTGTGTTAAAGATGTATTGTTGGACAACAAATAGAATGCTTAAAGCATCAATAACAATACTTACTTTAAAATATATTGTTGTATGGGCTGGGTGTGGTGGCTCATGCCTGTAATTCCAGCATTTTGGGAGGCCGAGGCAGGCAGATGACTTGAGGCCAGGAGTTTGAGACCAGTCTGGCCAAATGGCAAAGCTCCATCTCGACTAAAAATATAAAAATTAGCCAGCATGGTGGTGCATGCCCGTAATCCCAGCTACTTAGGAGGCTGAGACAGAAGGATTGTTTGAACCCAGTAGGCAGAGGTTGCAGTGAGCTTGAGATCGCACCACTGCACTCTAGCCTGGGTGACAGAACGAAGACTCTTGTCTCAAAAAAAGAAAAAAACAAGTATGAATCGCAGCTAAAACATTATGTATATATTAAGTAGGCATGTCTTTTGATGTTCCTTAAGTTTATTCTAACTTTGAAAAGTATTCATTTGATAAATAAGGGTTTCTTTCACTGATTCTTAAGTTCAGTGGACTCTTCCACTGAAGATTTTTTTTTTCTCTTCAAAAATCTGGAAAGTAACTTGTTGAACTAAATGACCGTTATAGGCTTTTGTATTTATAAAACTTTTGATTTTGTATTTGGGCATCCTTAAATCTTAACCTTAATTATCTATGATCTTCTACCATGAGGGATATACTAAAATTAACTACCAAAATAGGGTAAATTTTAAATATAAATGTGAATAAGGTAAGATTGTAATTTCCTTTGCCCCAGGCAGAAGGATTCCTAAAACTAGGATTAACTTTCTTTGCTCACATCTCTGGAATTCACTTCTATTATGCCAAAATATGGTAAAACAGGTATATACTTCTCTTTTTCTCTGCATCTATTTTTAAGTGAAAAGTACTATTCTTTTTCATTCTTACTCTCATTAATTTGTTAACACATAAAAATCAAGTTTAATTTGATAGTAGTGCCTGTTAGTCATGTGAACTCTGTACAACGTATCTATTTATACTGCTTCATACATCACTCACAGGACAAGTTCCCACAAAGACCTGTTTTGTCCTACTGTTGATCCACCCTAAAGAAACCAGTTTCCAAACTATGCACAGCTTTGTAAGTCAAGATGAACTTGTCAGAAATTGGATACAGAAACAAACAAGAAACCAAAGAATGCTAGTTAAGCAGAATGTGTTATATGTAATAAAATTGCAGAAAATGAAATGTTCTGTGTCCCAAGAATATTCTAATTAGGAAGTTATATCACATTCATATTGTAGTCATAGTTCAAAGTCATCCAGTTAAGGAAATATAAGTAATGCTTAGTAAGATGTTCTAGACAACAGAGAAGACAAATGATGAATGTGAACTTTGATTCTGCGTTTCTTAGCTAGCTTTATCCACGATAACTATTAATAAGTACCAAGGTTGAGAGGAAGAGAAGTTTGGTGTGTAGGTACAGATTCCCTTCTTCTGGAAGCAGTTAGGGGCCCAGAGTAAGGAGGGATTATAGTAGCATGCAGAACTGGGACTCTCCATCTATGTCCAGAAGGAAGAAAAACACGCATATACCATTCATAACAGAATATATTTCTCATCCCAAAGTTAAACACAAACACAATATATTCATACATCCTGATGGTAAAGTTTCCTTGAAGAAACAGAAAAATTAAATAAAATGGAATATATTTCACAGTTTAATTTATGGTTTTTTGCAATATTCCTGAAATATTCTCTCATTGAATAAAGGTTTTATCAAATATTTTGTCTTCTTGTTTAGAACTTTGAAGAATACCAAGCTCTGTTCAAAAGTTGTTTCTTTCAGATGATCTGATCCAAACATTGTGCTTTTAACTTAATATCTAATAGCTTCCCAAAGAATCTGCATACTTGTGATGCATTTCTTTCTCTCCTTGAGAAATTTTAAAAGGAAACAAAAGAAGCAAAGAAAATTTTAAATGTCTTTTGCTCGTTATTCCAACAATAGGCAAAGACCAAGCTTCCACAGCCAAAGCAAACTAGAGAATTCTCAGAGTACTCAGTAAAAATATATAATCTATGTCCTGAATCAAATGAGTATGTTATAGAAATATAAAACTATTAGAGAAAATACATGACACATGTAAATTTTTCCTGCCTTCTTTCCCAACACATTTTGAAAAGAAAGTTGTAGTAAGAAGATCTTTTCCTTATAAAGCCCTTTCTCCACCACAGATAGTCACATGAAAATACATATTTTTTAATTTTGAAGAAACCAGGTTAGTAGAGGGAACTTTTCTAAACCTTTTTTAACATGAGAATTCAAAAGGATAAAATTGAATAATGAAATGCCTTTTTGCTTCTGGCACCCCTTCCTCAAATTTCAGTCTGTTCTCCCCTACAAACTGACAATTCAGGACAGCCCAACTTCTCCATTTAATTCCAAGTCACAGGGAGGATTTGAATTGTAGAAATGAATATGAGCTAGGTTTTCTCTTTTATTACTATGTTTTTATTGAGATATAACTTACCTACCATGAAATACACATATCTTAACTATGCAATTTGAGTTTTGACACATGTATACATCAGAATCAATTGGGAGGTTAAAATTTTCTAGATGAGGTCTGGGCACAATGCCTCATACTTGTAATCCTAGCACTTTGGGAGGTCAAGGCAGGTGGATGGATCATTTGAGGTCAGGAGTTCAAGACCAGCCTGGCCAAAATGGTGAAACCCTGACTCTACTAAAAAAAATACAAAAAATTATCCAGGTGGTAGTGGCACACGCCTGTAATCCCAGCTACTCGGGAGGCTGAGTCAAGAGAATCGCTTGAGCCTGGGAGGCAGAGGCTGCAGTAAGCCAAGATTGTGCCACTGAACTCCAATCTGGGTGACAGAGTGAGACCCTGTCTCAAAAAAAAAATATTCAAATGATTCTAAGCTACACCTAGTTAACAACCATTGCTGGCCAGGCACCGTGGCTCATGCCTGTAATCCCAGCAGTTTGGGAGGCCGAAGTGAGTAGGTCATTTGAGCTCAGGAGTTCAAAACCACCCTGGGCAACAAGGTGAAACCCCGTCTCTACTAAAATACAAAAAGTTAGCCAGGTATGGTGGCGTGCGCCTATAATCCCAACTACTCAGGAGGCTGAGGCAGGAGAATCGCTTGAGCCCGGGAGGTGGAAGTTGCAGTGAGCCAAGATTGTGCCACTGCATTCCAGCCTGGGCAACAGAGTGAAACTGTATGGGGGCAGAATGGGGAGGGAAGAACCATTGCCTTTGTAAAAAAAACAAAAAACAAATTGAGTAATGTACATAAAAATACATAATATATCATAAATTGTTATGCAGATTAAGGTTCAGTTATATTTTAAAACTTACATCTCATACACTCTTATGGGATTTGCAATGCTGGGTCACATGAAATTCTCAATTTGTCTTTCTGTTTGTTTTTAAGAAAATTAATGCAAAACTTCATGATGGAGTATGTCAGCACTGTAAAGAAGTTCTTGAGTGGCGTGTAAAATACAGCAAGTATAGACCATTATCAAAACCTAAAAAATGGTAAGTTAAGAGTCTTCATTGCCTTACTAGTGGTATGTGTATCATAATTTGTTATTTCATTTCCTGATTTTCAACATTGTGTCCAAATAAATGTTAAAGTAAATATAGAAAAAATTCCATTCTACCCTGTAGAATTTCATCTTGCCTGCTAAATCTTGGTTTGTGAAGGCAGACAGATTTAAAAAGTAAATTCATTTTCTGCCCCATTCTTTCATAAATATGCATCATTTTTATCGAACTTTATTCATGAAAGGTGGGTTAGGGCTGAGAAGAGACTGTTTTCCACAATTCTGTCTCCCACTGATTAAGGTAATACTATGCACCGTAGATTATCTTTACCAATTCTTAAAAGGGATCAGACCTTTTAATTCAACTTGTGAAGATTACTGAATGGCTTAGATTAAAATAAATGAATCACTAGATTCATAACTTATAATGTTATTTATTTTTAGATTTTGTTTCTGAACCTTCCATCCCTAACTCCTTTTTTTTTTTTTTTTTGAGATGGGGTTTCGCTCTTGTCACCCAGGCTGGAGTGCAGTGGTGCAATTTTGGGTCACTGCAGCCTCCGCCTCCCAGGTTCAAGTGATTCTCCAGCCTCAGCCTCCAAAGTAGCTGGCATTACAGGCGCCTGTCACCACGCCTGGCTAATTTTTTTGTATTTTTAGTAGAGACTGGGTTTCGCCATGTTGGCCAGGCTGGTCTCAACTCCTGACTTCAGGTGATCCGCCCACCTAGGCCTCCCAGATTATAGTCATGAGCCTGTAATTGGGATTGCAGCCTTGAGCTACCCCACCCAGCCTTAATTCTTGTGTAATTCTGGGGTTCTTTTATATCAGCCTTCTGTGCATCCTCTATAGCTCCCTGACATCCTTCAGCTCATCTGTGTAAGGACAGTATTAGAGGGTAATTGCTGAATGAAAGAGAAAAGTGATTATCTTAAATAAAAATTAGGATTGTTCCTTTCACATGATAAGATTTAATTTGGTAGTCTACATAGTAGCTATTTAGACTATATTTGCTCACTGTTGCCTTATTTATCTTACTATTCAATCAATAGTTTCATCTTTGAATGCACTCCTTCCTCCTTTATGGGAGAAAATTTTGCTTAAAGTTTAGAAATTTAGTCTAAATAATAGATAGAATATGACTTTTGCTTATTTCTACTAAAAAATTATGTTAGCCTTTTGCAAATCTAAAACTCGATATATAAAATAATTTGTTTACTTCAAAATATTAAAACACTGAAAGGTAAAAGCATCAAAGAAGGATAAACTAACATAAGCTTTTTAGATTTTTTTGTACCCCCTTTTGGAGCAAACTATTTAGTATTTATTATAGGTATAGTTGAACCTCCTTATTTATTTATTTATTTATTTATTTATTTTTAAGACGGGATCTCACTCTGTCACCCAGGCTGCCTCGTGGGTTCAAGCAATTTTACCACCTCAGCCTCCTGAGTAGCTGGAGCTACAGATACATGCCACCATGCCCAGCTAATTTTTGTATTTTTTTGGTAGGGACAAGATTTCACCATGCTGGCCAGGCTGGTCTTGAACTCCTGACCTCAAATGATCCACCAGCCTCAGCCTCCCAAAATGCTGGGATTATAAACGTGATCCACCCGCCTTGTAAATAGTTCTACCGGCTTCTTGCTCCTTTTAGTCTTTTCTTCCTGTTCTCTAGCATTTCCTCCCACAAGAAAACACTTTTAAACAAGTCTGATGAGTTTTATGCTTAGTGGCCCAAACTAGCAGTAAAGAAATTTGGCAACTATTTGTTACCCAATTTTAGATTTCCATGAATGAATTAATTGTGTTCTCTAATAGAAAAATTAGATGTTGATTACAAAGTAAATCATGTAGTTTTAGTTAATAAGCCTTGTACAAGATTTGTAGCTTTCTGAATATTTTCAACAAGTTCTTATTCCTATAAAGGTATTTTAAGATTTCATAATCCATCTCCATTTTCTCTTTGTTTCCTAAAAGAATTTGAAGCGTAGGCAATAAACAACATTTATGTCATATTTTAATATATTAGTGCTTTGTAACAAAGGAAATAATTTTAAAACATTCCTGCCTTATCCATCATCAGTATTTAAATCTCTTATCTTTAATATTTGCTAAATCCTGTATATTTATCTTCATTTTGAATGTGTCAGTGTGTAAAAGGTCACATCAGTTATTGTAAATTTTCCAGGTGCTATATTTTGCTGTAGAACTTCTGAACTCATGTATTTTTTTTCTCAAGACAGAGTGAGACTGTCTCCAAAAAAAACAAAAAACAAACAAAAAAGGAAACTGCTAGTTAAAACAAGATCTTGTAGAGGAGGAAAAAAATCCATTCCTTCTATCCTTCTAAGTTCTTACCCCTGGCTCTGTAACAAAAACCAGATTAGCAAGAGAAAAATATACAGATTTATTTAATGTAAGCTTTATGTGATACAGAAACCTTCATAAGGAAACAAAGACCCAAAGAAATGGGTAAACCTATGTGTTTTTATGCTATGTTTGATGAAGAGTGGAAAATCATGGGATAATGTGATAGGGGACGAAAACAAAGGGGCATGAGCTAAGCCTAGTAAACTAAACAGCAAGGCCTGTTCATTCAGCTGCCTCTTACTGTTTCTCTGTTTTTAGAGATAATCATGGTCCTTTCCTCTAGGTATAGAGGGCACCTCTTGTAGTAAGGTCTTAGGGCCTACTTCAGGGATGAATCAGAGAGTCCTTCCTGCATTTGTTGTTTGTCACATTTCTTCAGCTCAAAATATTCAGTATGCCAAGGGACCATACTCTGCAGTAGCATGTTCTGAATCCCATCAGTCTAAACATATTACTTAGGAGGTTACTTGCCTGGCCTAGAACATCATGTATTTCGGATGGTCCTGAACACATGGCACATTAGATATATTGGAAAGCCAGCTTTCAAACTCCAATACAGGATTGAAAGTATTATAGAAAGTAAAACTAACAATTATTTGCATTGCTTTCTTTGTGTATTAAGACTTGACCAACATTGTAAGGAATTTGAATCCATTGCCAATGCTGATGGTAGCATAACTTGCTTTAAAATTTTTAATGTTTTGTTCAAGCTAATTACCTGTAAATTGAATTTGTCATTTGTTAGGGTTTGTATATGAAGTTTACGGAACATTATCTTTTGTCTTCGTTTTAGGTTTTTTTTTTTTTTTTTGAGAGAGAGTCTTGCTCTGTCACCCAGGCTGGAGTACAATGGCGCAGTCTCAGCGCACTGAAATCTCCACCTCCTGGGTTCCTCCTGGGTTTAAGCCTTTCTCCTGCCTCAACCTCCTGAGTAGCTGGGACTAGAGGTGTGTGCCACCACCCAGCTAATTGTTGTATTTTTAGTAGAGAGGTGGTTTCACTATGTTGGCTAGGCTGGTCCCCAACTCCTGACCTCGTGATCTGCTCGCCTTGGCCTCCCAAAGTGCTGGAATTACAGGCATGAGCCACAGCGCCTGGCCTTAGATAAATATTTTGTATTAAGATTTATTTTTGTAACATACTGAGTATTTCCATCAGTTAAAATGTTAATATTGTTTCACGTGTCTATCTGTTGCCACCAATTATGTAACTAAATTATATAGATAAAGAAAAGTTCAGCAGAACATAAAATATAGGGTGTAGTGGGGCTCTTTATAAGTGACATTTCTTTTGGAAGGAATAATATCCCGGTTACTGGGAAAATTAAAACTTTTTCTCCCATTTGTTTATCTCGTGAATCACCAAAAACCACACATTAATTTGTTCATGGGATCTATTGCCAAAAGTTAAAAGAAAAAGAGTTTGACATCTAAACTCTTCATACTTACATGTTTTAACCATGAGAAACAAAATTATACTATACTGCATTTGTAGTTGACAGACAATATTTCATGTTTCTCTTTTTCTTTTTTCAGTGAGGTGACATGCTACAGGATTTTTATAAACATGTTCTTTATGGAAGTTTCAGTTACTGAATACAATCCTGAACCATCTCCAGATACTTTTTAGAAAAGAATAGATGTCCTAACTTAAGTTGGGAGAGAGATGAATTGAAAATTATGTATTTGCTGGAGGAGGATAGGATGATGGCTATGAAAGAGGAGGGGATAAAAAGCATCTCACTTATCAGTGATGTATAAACAGTGTGATACTGGTACTGTCCTTTGACATAATGAGCTAAATCTCTCTGACTACTCAAAGCTTTAGGTCTTTATAGAAATAAAAAGATAAGCTCATAAAGATAAAAAAAATAAAAAGCACCATGACCAGCTGCCACTCTTGTTTTATATACTGCCCTTTAATCAGAAGTCAGCACAATATGTACTAGGGGCACCCCACCCATTTCTTAAGGCCAGTACCTGCTACTCCCTGATGGAGGGCTGCAATGATGGTGTCAGCACCTTCCTTGACACGGGGTGGCACAAACATTGTTAGACCTGAATAAGAAGGTTCAGACTTTAAGATTATTCACATATGTAAGAATTAGGATTCAGGAAATGTCTAAATCTTTTTGTATAAAATTTTATTTTTCAAGTGCCTTGGTTTTTACTTTCGAAAAAGAACCTCAAAATGAAAACCATTCATTACCATTTCTGGTCAATCCCAGGTCATTCATGAACACTGTAAATAATCTCAATATGGAGCTGAATTATTGGAGAAACCAGAGATCTTATAAACATAAAACAGCCCTGGTCAGTAATGGCTATGAAAAAAGTAATGTAAAAATATATTAAATAATTTATATAAATCTTAAGGAAGGAATCTTGATATTTTTATACTTAAGTCATTATAGACATTTATATATTTTCCAGGTACTAGAAATATAAATGTTTAAAAGATTTTGTCCCCTTTCTCAAGCACTGCAAGGCCAGATGAAATTAGTTCTTTTCTTTATTCTGGGCTCAGAAGGATTATACTTCTTACCCAAGACAAAAAAGTAAAGCAGATGGAGTTAAGGTTCAAATGCAAATTGATTAGATTCCAAAGCTTTGTTTTCCT